AAAAGATTTTCAGCTTGTCTTGACAGGGCGGATGCATGTCCCATGCCCTTTGATAATAAATATACAACTTTGTGCTTTTGTCGTCGGCGGCCATTTTCCGCTTCCCCCATGCCTTTTGACTTTTGTGCATTTCCGTTTCCGCTCCAGCTAAAGGGGAAGTGGAAGCGAGTTCAATGTAAACGGATTTCCATAGCAATTGATTCGAATCGAGTCGAGGCGAGTTGAGTTGCCAGTCGATGGGCAACTTTTAACCTTTCCCGTCTGACACATTATAAATAAATGGTTTGGCTTTGCGCTTACAGCTGTCATATATTTTATGGTGTAAATGCCACCACACATTGCGGCAATGAGTGTTGCAATCCATATTGCACATACGCCCTGTGTGCAGCCCACTGAATGCGAAGCAAATACTCACTAGTCCTGTTAATGACGTTTCTAATGCACGCAACGAGGCGTGTCGCTGCCGATTGGCCAAATCAGATATGTCAGCATGTCACATTATTATGGTAATATTTTTGTGATTCATCGGATTTCGTTTCTGCGGTTTGTATTTAATGGGAAATGGGCGGATATCAGCCTTTGTTCCGACTCAATCGAGTACCGACCCCGAAAAGCCATTGCCGCGTTGATTTGCAAGCGCAATTTAAACCCAATTTCCCGAACAAAAGAAATTTTAGCCATTAAATTCGCTTGCCATGCACAAAGTCATCAACAATGCATCCGAATTCGCATTGCAATCATTGTAGCAGTTCTACATCGAATCCCAGTGCACTTTACCCGTATCGAGCTAACGTTATAGGCCAGACAGTCTAGACTCGATCAATACCCAGTGAAGTTCTTTTAGATTCAAAAACAAAGTTATAACTCTTTATTTTCTGGTTCGACAAACAGCCCACCATAAATCGCAATATACCCCACGAATACCCATTAAATTCTCGTCCTGACATATACACACTTATATAGAAATATATCCTTTTAGCCAACGCTCAGCGGATGTGACTACGGATGTGGCTGCGCTCGGCTGGCGCTTCCAGAAATCGCATGAAAGTGCTGCAATATTTAACCCCTGTGTGCAGGTGGGCGAGATCCTGGCTCCTGTCAGTTGGCAGGACACGTGCTAAAGTGTGCATATGTGTGCCACTAGGCCTTATAACACTTTGGCCCGCATCGGGATGCACAAATGCGATTTGCACGAGCTTAATCCATAAGCTCGGGGAATCCACTTAGAGGAGCGTGAAGTGGCGCTAAGCGGGTGTCGTTGGGAGGTCATCGGTCATTTTAATTGCGCATAAAATGGCCAGAACGCACACTCAATTGATCACGCACAAAATATGTGTATGTGTTCTATATATAGACGAGGTCCCGAGAGGGTTGGAGGTGTTAGAATGCTTACACAGAGAGAAATTCTGGTAAACAGGCATCGACTGCAAACTAGCAAGCCAGCAAATCCTTTAAAGGCTTATTTCAAGCATTAGAGTTCAAACAAACAACTTTCTAAGGATTTTCTTTAAGTGCCAGATTCTTCAAGCGGAATCCCTGTAGCCGGAGGTGATGGAGTGCCATAGACTGACATATGCACTTGCCAGGACATGGTTAATGTGACAAGGACTGTTTGCACAGTTTGCTTAATATTCCACACGTGCAATGTCCTGACACATAATATATATTTATATACACATGTACTGCGGTCATAATGAGGGCCACTTGCCGGTGTCAGAAGTTCGCAGGACTCTTGACTCCTCGACTCCGGCAGTTGTGTGTCATCAGCAAAATGGTGCCAGGCGACCAGAAATAGGATTATTTATCCACACACACACCCATTGCCCCCAGAGGTGGACAAACGCAGTTGGCTATCCTTAAGCTACTTATGTACGGTTGGTATATCCTAGGAGTTGGGTGGGCTAAACGCAATTTACAGACTCACCTCGCTCGAATTAATTAGTGCAATTAAGCTAACCGCGCCTGTGGGAGGAGCTGTCAACTGCTTGGTCTGCTTTTATCCTACTTTCCCCAACTATTTGCCCAAAAAATTAAGCATACGCCGTGTACACATCGTTGGGCTTGAATTGTATCCCATTTCCAGGACTGCAGTCCTGCTGGCTGGCAGGACTTAATTCGAAATGGGGCTTCGCTTCATTGGTATTCATGCGGCCTTAACCCAGCAGCCATTTCCTAAATCCGGCCCTTAAAACAAAGCAACTAAAAGCCAAGAAAAAATCTTCAAAAAAAAACCCAAAAACTTTCGAAAGCCAAAGGATTCGAATGTCGATGGGAGTGGAAAAAAGTCAAAACGATTTTCCAGCCAGCGGCGGGCACAAACAATTTATCTTCCCAGAGCTGGCCTATAAAAATGGCAATCATTATTATAGTCATGTACCAGGCAATGGGGCGTTACGGCAATCAACGCCAGCGTCTCAAGACGGCTTCCATAAATAAGCGCACAATTTCAATTTTCAACAACGCCCCAAAGGAGCACAGAGCCGTGTATGTCCGTATCCTCCGAATTGTGGTCCGGAGACAGAGGCAAGCCACATCAAAGATTATATAGAAGGGCCGAAGTATATACGTATATATTTAAATGCATATTTTAATAGCCATAAAGCGGCCAGCTCTTTGGGCTAAGAAAAAAAAAAGTACCAAAATGCCATCGGGCATACTTAAAGGCCTCTGCCAAACACTCAGATACAATGGCGCATGCATGGTCACAGGCACAGATACAGATACATTTACAGATACTTTGGCAAGACAAGGCCGAATGCGCAACTAAAACAAGAGAATCCTCGTTCATATGAGGGGAGAAATGTAATATAAATTATAAACGCAAACTGTGCGACAAGGATTTCTGGTTTTTGATTTTTTTCTTTTGGGTTTTTATTTCTTATTCGATTTTCTGGTTGGTATTATTTCAACTTTGCCCCAACGACATGCGATTTGGATGGCAAATGATTTTGCAGTTGCAAGGCCCGGGCGGTTGCACGGATCAGGGCGGTAAATGGTAGCATAAACGGGCAAATCGAGCGAGCACATGCTACTACAAACTACATATACCAAGCACATGGCGCTAGTGGAAGGTCAAGGGTCATGTCGAGCCGGCGTTCGAATCTTGTCGAAATTTACTGCAACACTTGCCACGACCGCCAATAGGCATCTATCCATCTAATAAATATATTATATATCTCGTTTTTTTAGTATATTTATAGGCTGGATAGGAATTGATGACGTCTCCATCGAGGCACTATCTTTCTACTTGCCACCCCTTCGGTCTTGCACCGCCTCCTGGTGTCATGCCGCATGCAGATTGTCGTGCAGCAGTAAGCGAAGTAAGCGAAACTGCAATGGCTAGGCACGCGGAAAAATATACTATTTTAAGCTTATATATGGGAGTTTATTAAGGTTCCTTATAAAGTCATTAAAACTATCTAAGATGTCTAAGATATGAGTTAAAGATTCTTTTTTGAAGATATTTATTACAAAACCCCCTACAAATATTTACTGAAACTCCCTTTTTTTCAGTGTATTTGAAGGCAACTGCCGCAAAGTCTATGTTAGCCAAAATCGATCCGAAAGAGCAACTCGAAAGAGGGGCTCGAGTACGTATAACTTCACCCTACTCTGCATGTGCACGTTTTCAGTGTCTGTGTATGAGAGTGTGTGTATGGCTGAGAGTGTGTGTGTGTATGGCAGAGTGTGTGTGGAGACCATTGGAGGCCAGACCCCGTGCCTATGCCACGCGATGTGATTGTGAATGCGAAAATGTGGCGACGGCAAAGGCAAAGTGGGACCGGGGTCTCGGTTCATTTTGGTTTGGTTTGGCTGCTGGCTGGCTTTCTGGGGGCTCTGGGTTCCGAGCTCTGGCCTAGGATGACGTAGTCCTACTGCTAACTGTGTTAGTATGCCTGCCCTTCCTTTCTTGGGGTTGCACACTCACACACACGCACACCCTGAGTGCCAGCACAGAGGGTGCGAAGGGGCATTAAATGGTTCGTGTTTTCCTTTTTTTTCTTCTTGTTTTTTTTTTTTATTTTTGCCTCATCTTGCCGCTCGTTTGCCACTCATATTGGGGTCGCCTGACTGTTCATACTTTAAAAGCCAGGCCATTTAGTTTCGAGGCAGGCTAAATTATTAAAAAGCCAAAGCAAATGCAAAGCCGACGCACAAACGCACAGGCGGCAGTTCATTAAATTCAATGTATGCAAAATAGCAGCAACAAATGTGGCAGAAGGCAATCTTAGCCGCCGCAACGCCCACCCAGTCCAGTCACCCCGCCTCACCCTGCCATCTGTTGTCATTTTCGAGCCCCGAAAAGTATGCAATACAAGGCAGGCTCATCATAATCATATGCTTCCTAAGCAACTTTGCTGCGCAAATATGTTTCGCCAAACTCCAATTTGTGTCCCAGGTAGTGTAAAGGTATATGCCATTTTTTTGTTGTTGTAAGATTGTAAGTGGTGAGTGTGTCCTGGTGAGTGTATGTGTGTGAGTGAGTGCTTGTGGTTCTTTATGCGTCACGTGAGAATTTCCTTTATTATTATTTGACTTGGCTGCCCTGGTACATATCACGTATACGCAACGTATAATTCCGCAAAAAAAGGCATTGATTTTTTTGATTTCCCTTCGTTGTCAGTTTTTTTAGTCCTTTCTTTAGTTTTTGTTTTTTGCGCCACTTTATTTATTACTTTGATTGTTTTTCACTTTACAGCTTGGAGTTATTAGTGCTTTTCTTTGCTATTCTGAAAAATATTTGCTTGGCATTTCTGGGGAACTGAAGTTGATTTTGTTTGTTTGTGTTTGCCACTTTTTACGCTTTCTCTGTATTTTGCTTTTTATTTCTTTATTTTTGTATTTTTTTCGCTTTGTTGTTGTTTGCTCTGTTGCTTGCTGTTCGGGGCTCATCATCATCAAACACACACATACACTCTGGCAGGATAGCACACACACACACACAGATACACTCACACAGACGCGCGCGTAAAGAATATAGTAAAGTACAAATTGCTCACAATTTCCTGGCTGGATCTGCTCTAGTTAGTCGGTTGCTTTGTTGCTGCTGTTTTTAATTGCCTTCTCACTTTTCAGATTTTCTTTAAGAGACAACTCCACGACCACGCGCTACTACGTCTGACCACGTTCTGAATCAAGTTGGGCCAAAATCAAGTCCTTCTGGCTGTTGTTGGTGAAATTTCTGAATGATTTTCACCAACAAGCGGCTGGCGAAATACTCACAGGACATGCGCAGTGGAAAAGCGGCGACCCTGCAGGTGACACACTTTTCCGCGCCAACCGTCTTCGTCGATGGAGTGGATTTTCCGAACCCCCTCCCACCCTATTCCGAGCCCCCGTGACTTAACCCCATTCCCCCCTCGCTTACTATTTACATGGCACACTCGGTTTAAGGCGGCAAGCAGTTTTCCTTTAGTTACTTGCCGTTTTTTTCGTCCTGTTTGTATTTTGTAGTTTGAAGTGAATTTAGCATGCATTGCCTCCTGGATGGCTGAAGGATATGTGCTTGGGTGAGTGTGTTTGTGGCACAAATGTCATTTTCGATGCTCGAACATTTTTCGAGGAAGCTGCCTCCCAGCCGTCCTGCCGCCCTGCCGCACAGCTCGGGGAGTTGAAAATTCGCATTTGCCGCATCCATAATGAATGAATTGTCCTTTCGGCCAGCTTCGTCTCTCGGTTAAGCTTCTGGGTTAACTGACCTTTAGCAGTGCGGCAAAACACAAAACACAACGGAGCTTAAAAACAAATGCAAATAAAGAACTGCCTCCTCGTTTTGTATTTCAAAGTTCACTATTGTTTGCCATTTTTGCGGCAACATGCAATCCAAAATTATATTTATTCCAATATATCCCCTACTATACAGAGACTTATGAAAAGTAAACAATTTAATACTGCTGATTTTGACATTTTCTAATTAAATATTTAAGCCATCATTTTAATTAATAAAACAAGATTAAATTGTGTTTGCTCAATGTGTGTGTGCGGAGCAATATCTAAGCAATAAACGAGTGCTTGCTCAGAACACAGTTCCATATGTGTGTTTTAAACAAATTACAGTTTTTGGGACAATTTGTATGGTGTTTGGCTTTCTCCATAAAAGGAGTAATTGCACTCGGGCTAAAGCTGAGTGGCCAAAAACGAATTAAAACTATGCAATTCGAATTAAACAAAATAAATGGCAATAAAATGTTGTTTCGTTATCATTTTTATACAAATTTTGTATTAAATTTACGTTCAATCCCTAGAAAGGTGGCCATCTTTTCTTATAACATTGGCCAAGATATAGGCACGGTAGGAACCTTATAAGAGTGTTGCGGATATTACAAGGGATTCCTTCAGATAAAATTTAAAAATGATTATAGGGAACCATTCTACAAAGAATTCAATGCATTCCCTATCCCTATTCCTATTAGATGGAAATCGAGACGATACAAAACGTTCAATCCCTAGAAAGATGCTCATCCTTTCTTGTTTTCATTTGTGTTAGTAAACATTTTAATTTAGAAGTATGTAACTATGTAACAGGAGCTGCCTTCCTCCATAATTTGTTGAAATAAACTTAAGGGGAAAATTTTTGTCACGTTGGCGGTGCCCAGAAAAGAAATCACTGGCTCAATTCAACTCAACCGCTCTAGAATCGGATGAAAAGTAGCCAAGCTATTGACATGGCTGGTAGCCCTATATGAGTATCCACGATTTTATATGGACTTCATCAGAAAAATTTTGAAAAAAATTGATCAAAAATTTTGTTTGAATGTTTTAATGCAGATTTTTAGAGAATCCATCTACAATTCGTTTAAGGTATTCCGCTCTGGAATCGGATAAAAATTGGCCAAGATATCGACATGGCCAATGGCCCTATATAAGGATCCGGCATTTTATAGGGACTTCATCAGGAAAATTTTGAAAAAAATTGATCAAAAATTTTGTTTGAATATTTTAATGCAGATTTTTAGAGAATTCATCTACAATTCGTTTAAGGTATTCCGCTCTGGAATCGGATAAAAATTGGCCAAGATATCGACATGGCTAGTGGCCCTATATGAGGATCCGGCATTTTATAGGGACTTCATCAGGAAAATTTTGAAAAAAATTGATCAAAAATTTTGTTTGAATATTTTAATGCAGATTTTTAAAGAATCCATCTACAATTCGTTTAGGGTATTCCGCTCTGGAATCGGATAAAAATTGGCCAAGATATCGACATGGCCAATGGCCCTATATGAGGATCCGGCATTTTATAGGGACTTCATCAGGAAAATTTTGAAAAAAATTGATCAAAAATTTTGTTTGAATGTTTTAATGCAGATTTTTAGAGAATCCATCTACAATTCGTTTAAGGTATTCCGCTCTGGAATCGGATAAAAATTGGCCAAGATATCGACATGGTTAGTGGCCCTATATGAGGATCCGGCATTTTATAGGGACTTCAACAGGAAAATTTTGAAAAAAATTGATCAAAAATTTTGTTTGAATGTTTTAATGCAGATTTTTAGAGAATCCATCTACAATTCGTTTAAGGTATTCCGCTCTGGAATCGGATAAAAATTGGCCAAGATATCGACATGGCTAGTGGCCCTATATGAGGATCCGGCATTTTATAGGGACTTCATCAGGAAAATTTTGAAAAAAATTGATCAAAATTTTGTTTGAATGTTTTAATGCAGATTTTTAGAGAATCCATCTACAATTCGTTTAGGGTATTCCGCTCTGGAATCGGATAAAAATTGGCCAAGATATCGACATGGCTAGTGGCCCTATATGAGGATCCGGCATTTTATAGGGACTTCATCAGGAAAATTTTGAAAAAAATTGATCAAAAATTTTGTTTGAATGTTTTAATGCATATTTTTAGAGAATCCATCTAAAATTCGTTTAAGGTATTCCGCTCTGGAATCGGATAAAAATTGGCCAAGATATCGACATGGTTAGTGGCCCTATATGAGGATCCGGCATTTTATAGAGACTTCATCAGGAAAATTTTGAAAAAAATTGATCAAAAATTTTGTTTGAATGTTTTAATGCAGATTTTTAGAGAATCCATCTACAATTCGTTTAAGGTATTCCGCTCTGGAATCGGATAAAAATTGGCCAAGATATCGACATGGCTAGTGGCCCTATATGAGGATCCGGCATTTTATAGGGACTTCATCAGGAAAATTTTGAAAAAAATTGATCAAAATTTTGTTTGAATGTTTTAATGCAGATTTTTAGAGAATCCATCTACAATTCGTTTAGGGTATTCCGCTCTGGAATCGGATAAAAATTGGCCAAGATATCGACATGGCTAGTGGCCCTTTATGAGGATCCGGCATTTTATAGGGACTTCATCAGGAAAATTTTGAAAAAAATTGATCAAAAATTTTGTTTGAATGTTTTAATGCATATTTTTAGAGAATCCATCTAAAATTCGTTTAAGGTATTCCGCTCTGGAATCGGATAAAAATTGGCCAAGATATCGACATGGCTAGTGGCCCTATATGAGGATCCGGCATTTTATAGAGACTTCATCAGGAAAATTTTGAAAAAAATTGATCAAAAATTTTGTTTGAATGTTTTAATGCAGATTTTTAGAGAATCCATCTACAATTCGTTTAGGGTATTCCGCTCTGGAATCGGATAAAAATTGGCCAAGATATCGACATGGCTAGTGGCCCTATATGAGGATCCGGCATTTTATAGGGACTTCATCAGGAAAATTTTGAAAAAATTGATCAAAAATTTTGTTTGAATGTTTTAATGCATATTTTTAGAGAATCCATCTAAAATTCGTTTAAGGTATTCCGCTCTGGAATCGGATAAAAATTGGCCAAGATATCGACATGGCTAGTGGCCCTATATGAGGATCCGGCATTTTATAGAGACTTCATCAGGAAAATTTTGAAAAAAATTGATCAAAAATTTTGTTTGAATGTTTTAATGCAGATTTTTAGAGAATCCATCTACAATTCGTTTAAGGTATTCCGCTCTGGAATCGGATAAAAATTGGCCAAGATATCGACATGGCTAGTGGCCCTATATGAGGATCTGGCATTTTATAGGGACTTCATCAGGAAAATGTTGAAAAATTTGTTCAAAAATTGTGTTGGAAAGTTTTTATGCAGATTTTAGGGGAATCCATTTACAAATCTCTGAAGGGATTCCTTTGGATAAAATTTAAAAACTGCAATAATGAACCATACTTCAAAGAAATCAATGCATTGCCATCCCCAATTAGATGGATCATACTGAAATGTTTCATGCAGTAGGAGCTGCCTTCCTCCATAATTTGTTGAAATAAATTTAAGGGGAAAAGTTTTGAAAGCCCCTTTTCCGCAGATACACGTTGGCGGTGCCCAGAAAGGAAACCACTGGCTGAAAACTGCGAAAATGCGAAATGTGAAACGCAACAAAATCAGAAGAGGAAAACCAAACTCACAGAAATAGAAACCGAAACCAAAACTCAACGGAGCAAAATCAACGCCAACGGCGGCTGCCTGTCAATTAAAACATTAAAACGCGCTGAAAAATGCACCAAAAAGTCGAAAAACAAACACAGCACCAACAACGCCGGCGATTAGAAGCATAGAATTTCGCAATTGAGCACTTAGAGCCAGAGCCCAGACTCAAAAAAGTGCACAGAAAATAATTTTCACTACAATTTTCTCAAATTATGATTAAGTCTGCAATAGTTTAAATGATAATATTTATACACCAAATATGATTAAAAATATAGAATTGGATAATTGATACATGATTTTTCTTTGGATGTTGAGTCCCAAGCGGAGGAAGGGGAGTGGCCCGGCGTTGGGGGCAACACTAATGTGTGACCCAGTTTGGGGCACCATGCAGGAAAGGAACTCTGTTTTGGCCATTTGCTTTTGATCATTAAAAACTGGTTGGCCGCAAACGCCAAAGCGCATACGACTGCGGTTAAATTAATAGTATCAAAGCCCGCCATAAATAATTATGAATAAATCATCGGGTCCCAGCTGGATGAAGTGTGAATGGAGCGCATTAAAAATAAATGCCTTCAAAATCCATTATATAAAATGATTAAATAAACAGAATTTATTATGTTTACCGAAGCGGATTTGTTTAATGACAAATAAATTAAAAATAAACATATTAGAAGAGGATTAAAAAGGATTATGGTTTGTAAATTTTATAGAGAATATGAAAATTGCGAGGCTGGCTGTTCTATTAATTTAAATTATTCATTGTATATTTGTTTATCTTTGTATATACTGTTTCTATATATCCCACCTCACTTGTCCATATTTCTCTTTTTTTTACCGCCCATGCCATTGGCGGCTGCGGAGCTTTCGGCAGCGGCTTTATAAACGGCCGGCGATGGCGGCCGCGAGCCGAGTTATACCGTTAGATTAGCCGAACGCGCGCGTTTTTCCCACGACCACAACACATTAACTAACCACCATGAAGGATCTCAAGATGCACTGCCTCCTAGTGGTAGGAATTATCGGTTCTGTCGTTGCCTTTCCGGATGGAGCTCCGTCGGATACGTGTGTGAAGCAGCGAGCGAATCAACCCAATCATGGAAAGGCCAGAAGTCAGCCGGCTCACTCCAATCCCTTCGAGGTTGTGGCCGATTCCCAGACCTATCATCCCGGCCAACAGATATCGGTGGTTGTGTATCCGCACTCGGATCAGAGCACCGTTTTCCGAGGCTTCTTCCTCCAGGCAAGGGATGCCAATTCGAACGAGTGGATCGGGGAGTGGGTGCAGAGCGAGAACACCAAGACTATTCCAGAGTGCTCTGCCATAACGCATTCGGATAATCGGGATAAGCTGGGAGCCAAGCTGATTTGGAAGGCTCCCCAAAATAAGCGAGGAAACGTTTACTTTACGTAAGTAACATAAGGCTTTAAGGATGGCTTTAAAGGGCCTCCATAGCGCTATAAATAGTACCAGAAATGGCATTCTTTTTTGGCCAAAAACTAACTTAGTATATAAAAGACAGTACGTGTCTTTTATCGTCCGTGGCCATCATCATAATCATCATTAGGAGCAGAAGTGGCTGTACCATCATCGTCGGTAGCCGTGAAGGGATTCATTAATCATACGCCACGTTGACCCACATAATGTAATGCGCGCATAATTGTCAGGCCGACAAAAAGTTGCCGGATAATCGCACAAAGGCATTATGTAATTGATTTATTTGGAAAGAGAGTCTCTGGCGAAAAAGAGTCTCCAATCCGTCCAATCATCCGTTCAACAAAAAAGGCATCAACACACCAAAGACGCCAAAAGCCAAAGAAAAGTTGTCAATGGTTTTTGTGGGACAACAGCAACTTTGTCAGCCGCCAACACTCTGCTACATGAAACAGTTTTTTTTCTATACCTTTTATCATTAATCATTCTAGCAGGCACCAAATATGATTAATCAAGAGGGAAAGTAGTGGTTTAATCAAAAGTTTTAGGTTGGGTTTCAAGAGAAACTTTCAAAAAAATCTTAGGCAGCCTTTTATTTTAAAATCCAGTTTTCATTTGAAATGCTTGTAGCTTAGTGTTGGCTTAAATACAACCATCATTTGAAATTGTCGAATCATCAATTATTACCTATTTATAGACACCGTTTGCGTGCAATCTGCCGTATAAATTAAAATCCATTATGACTCGGCTCGACTCAACTGGGAAATTTAAATTTTCTTTTGCAGGGGCACTGTGCTACAGGAGTACGGCACCTTCTGGAGCGACATCGTTAACAAAGTACAGGCGGAGCCGCAATAACTGAAATTATGTACTTAGTTATAAGACAGCTGAACCGACCCAACCAATCAGCCGGGCAATAAATCTTAAAAACCCTAATTAGTCAAAAAGAAATTGTTGTTTGAAGATTTTCCAAAAGACCCTTTGCAATCAACGTTACCAAACAAAATTATTGACTTTTTAGCCTAACGTTTATGAATGACCACTCTCACACACATAGCACATACACATTTAGAAGGCACACCCACATTGGAACGCCCACCACCTGCCACCACCCACTCGAACTCGGCCAAATCAAAGGCACGAGCCGGGCACGTTTGGCTTTCCAGACACGTTGCCCAGCTTCTCATTGGAAATTCGTTTTGGGCGTGCAAGTAAATTGGAAACTTTAAGCACCTTTCATGCCGGCTATGGGAGGGGAACCGATAGCGATAAAGTAATTAGACCAGGCCTCTGGTCTCTCAGACGGCCACAAAAATTGGCCAAAACATAAGCCAAGAGAATCGGAGCAGGTCTAAGTATTTGGGATTGCCCTTTTGCTGATTGCCTCTAATCGGACGAAGCGGATAAGAAATCAACATCAGACGATAAGGTTTCCATAAATTGGTTTCGAGAACAAATCGGAAATGTCAGGTGCGACTAGGTCAATAAAAACATTTAGTAAACATTCTCTTTCTTAAGTTTCTTATCAATTAAGAGTGAGAATTTGACTTTCCATCAAAACAAGCAATTATTGAATAACAACATCAATGCAAAACAACATGGCATTGAAGAAAAATATTATTCAAGAGGTAAGTACAATGTTTTAAACTCACCAAAAACCGGGTTTTTTCTTGTATTTTTTCTTTAATATATTATATATATTTTCTTTATAATCCTAATAACAGATACGACTTTAGAAAGAAGAACCAACAGCCGCGACTTTAGAAACAAAACTGATTTTTCAAATTGCGTTTCGCATATTTAATATTCATACAAGACCGGAATTTCTAATATTAGAATTGATTATTGTACGTATAGTATAGTATAAGTGAAACATCACAGCCGCAGCGATAAATTCTTCCTGTAAGATTGTTTGCTTTCTTTAGAAACAACTGGTATCAGTTTGAGAAGAATTCCCTTGAAAAATGCAACAAAATCGAAGCTGTTGCTGTTCGGGGATCTCTACTGTAAGCATGTAAGCGCATTCTAACTTTCGATAGCTTGTTTACCCGGCTGCGAGTTCAGTTGTTATTGTTGTTCCATTGAAATGTGCTTGGCAACCCACGCGAATTGGCAAACTGGGGGGTACACATAGGTAGTAGAATGGGGGATAATGGGGCCCGAACAGGGCGGGGTGTTTTCGTGCGTTGCATTCGCCTGCCGTCTGGCGACTTGTTTTGATCGAATTCGCCGCGCCGGTTGTCTTTGTCTGGCTTCGCCGAACGCCCAGGGGTGTGCCCGAAAGCTGAGCGGGTCCAGTAAGTCACCTAGAACAGCGGAGAATGCGCTCCTGGACGGTTCGAGTTCGTTGTCCAGCCGGTCGAGTCTGTTTTTCAGCACGCGTTTTGTTTTACTGCACAGTGACTTGTTGCTCTCCGCCGTCTGCCTGTGCTTCGTTTATCAGCGATTGCCGGCAGCTCAACACTTTCAGTTCACGTTTAGCAACTTTCCGGAGAGGTTCGCCAGAGATTCCAACAGATTCACACACCAGGATGGTTATCAATTTCGCCGCCGGTCCAGCCAAGTTGCCCGAAGAGGTCAGTAGTATGGTGGCATGATGTCCCTTCTCCCTGGGTTACGACCTTTAACGCTTAGTTCTCTGCAAGAAAAGAGAGTATACATTGCTCTTCATTTAAATTCATTAGCTATTAGGTGTTTTATAACCTTAGTTTTCTTTCCAACCTTTTACTTACATGGCATATTCCCTTTTGTTCGTACAGGTTCTAAAAGAAGTACAGGCCAACCTCCTCAACTGCAATGGCAGCGGGATTTCGGTCATGGAAATGTCCCATCGCTCCAGCAACTATGGAAAGATCCAGGAAACTGCCATCAACGATCTACGGGAGCTCCTCAATGTGCCCAGCAACTACAAAATCCTCCTGATGCAGGGCGGTGGCACCGGACAGTTTGCCGCGGTAGCTCTCAACTTGATCGGGATTACTGGCAGTGCTGATTATGTTATCACCGGATCATGGTCGTCGAAAGCAGCCAAGGAAGCGGCTCAGTATGGAAAAGTGAATGCCGTGATTCCCAAGCTGGCCAAGTACACGACAGTTCCCAGACAAAGCACTTGGCAATTGGATCCAAAAGCATCCTATGTCTACTACTGCGACAATGAAACAGTTGAGGGCGTGGAATTTGATTTTATTCCCGAAATTCCAGAAGGTGTACCCCTGGTGGCCGATATGTCGTCCAATTTCCTCTCTCGCCCCTTCGATGTCAGCAAGTTTGGTGTCATCTTTGCGGGAGCCCAGAAAAACATCGGACCAGCGGGCACAACAGTAATCATTGTCAGGGAGGACTTAATTGGCAAGCATCTGAAGACCACACCCTCCATCCTGAACTTTGAGCTGATGGACAAGAACAGCTCACTGCTCAATACTCCTCCGACGTTCGGGTAATGGGTCTTCATATTTTCTTACTTTCTGCAAAATCTTAAGAATTCTCCCTTTTAGAATCTATGTTATGGGCCTGGTGTTCAAGTGGATCAAGAGCAATGGAGGCATTGCTGGCATGGAAAAGCAATCCGCCGCCAAATCCAAGCTTATCTATGACATTATCGATCAGTCCAATGGCTTCTTCTACTGCCCCGTAGACGCTAATGTGCGCTCGCGCATGAATGTACCCTTTAGGATCGGTAGTGCCGCCGGTGACGATGCCCTAGAAAAGGAGTTCCTGGCCAAAGCGGAAGCGGAAGGCATGATCCAGTTAAAAGGTCATCGTTCAGTGGGCGGAATTCGTGCCTCTCTTTACAATGCAGTTACGCTTGCTGAAACCCAAAAGCTGGCCAATCTGATGCTGGCTTTTTACAAAAACAATAAAAATTAGGACCACTCTTTTCTAATTAGTTTGATTATTGTTTTACAAAAGACCTCGTTGCCGGAAGATCTCGTCTAGCTTAAGTTCCAGGTTGGCGTTGGTTCCTCGCAGGTTGTCAACCACCTGTTTGGCCCAAACAAAGTACTGCTCACGTCGTTCCTGATAGGGAAGAGATAATTACGGTGATATAATTTGTACTATGGATTATTATGGAAAAGACCCACCTCTGTCCATCCCTTGGGGGTGTTAACCAGCAGATCCCTGAGGTTATCCAACTTATCGGCCAGTTTTATGAGCTTAGCTCGGGAGCTGGTTTTGGGTCCATTAACTATTTGCAGTCGCTTTCGCTCCTGCTTCTCCAACGACTTGTCATCGGTCACTTCACGCACCAAGCCGCACACATCAGGGCCGAATAGTTGCTCCACATCCGAAAACGTCGCGTCCGTATCCTCAACCACATCGTGAAGAAGGGCTGCCATGAGAACTGCCTCATCCGTGACGCAGGCCTCCACGGACAGAATGGTGCTCACATTAATCACATGATTAACATAAGGAGTTTCCTGGGGGTCCTTTCGTCTTTGTGTTCGATGTTTCAGAGCCGCATATTGCAGGCATTCCATAAATTTACAAGAAGGATATGTCGTCATTACGTTATACTAAGATAAAAGCTAAGAAGAAGCTGAAACCAGTATATCAATCAGGATGAGGGTACAAGACCTTTTTCAATATACAATTATTTGGATTTGCCGGCAATAACTTTATTTATTAAAAATGTAAACACCAACAGCTGGCACAGTGTTAGACAACGTAAAATCTTTGTTTGGCTTCAGCCCTGAAAGTTATCGATACAAAAAACGATAAACGCCCGCACTTGCGGTATAAATTTAAAAACCTTTATTTGAAGGAATATAAAACTAATCCTTCTTAGGATTCTTGTCCTCGCATTTGTTGCACTGCTCGCTCGCGGACTTTTCAGCAGCCAACTTGGCTTCTTGGGCCGCCTTGGCAGCTTGGCGCTCCAACTCCGGAATATAGAAGATTTTGCGTGACTTCAGCGCCGACCACTTGTGTCGTTTGATGTAATAGGATATACCTATCAAGAAGGCAGACATAATAACCACCTTGATGAGCAACAGCCGACGTTCATCCGATTCCGGTTCAGATGTCCACTTCAAGAAGGTACACACATCCTTGGCTATCTGCGCAGCGGAGGCAGCCACGTTCTCGTCGGCATATGTGACCACTTCGTTGTCAATTACTTTGCCCATGGAAATGGCGCCTCCTGAAAAGTACGGATTAAAGTACTGCCCGTCGCGCAAAGTGAAACCAGCTGGCGGCTCACAGTATCCGGTGAGCAGTGCAAAGACATAATCCTCGCCCCCCTTGCGTGCGGACACGATGTAGCTCAAATCCGGCGGATAAGCTCCGTTGTTGGCGGAACGAGCCGCGTCCTCGTTGGGGTACGGGGATGGGAAGTGATCGGATAGTTTTCCCGGGCGATCGAAATAGTTCCCCTCCTCGTTGGGGCCATCCTTAACAGTGATTCCCTCCGCCTCCGATTTGGCCTCTGACTCGGTCATGCACACCCCGACCAGGTTGCGATAAGCGATGTATTGCAGCGAGTGGCAACTGGAACACACCTCCTTGTAAACAAAATAACCGCGTCGCACACCCTCCTTGTCCAGGGCAGCCAGCAATCCTGTGTGATTCCAGGCCTGGTGCGGTGGATGGACGCTATCTGAAGAAGCGTCAACACTGGTCTCCAAGGCGTACATCAGAAGTCCTGCCCCTCCGGTTAGGACTCCCAGGGCACCTAGTAGTTTGGGACGTCCGGCGAAAAATGTGCGCCCAGATGAGGTAGCCTTTGGACGCACCGATGTCCAGTTGAAGCCGCCCTTGGCCATCTGGAACAGCTTCGAGCTGAAGCTTCGCAATTTCTCGGACATGCTGGATAACTTCAATATCGTTCGACCCTGTTTCGTTAATTTTGTGGATGACAGAGCTCACTTACTAAAAATGAGAGTTGTCAAAAAAGAAAACAATGTGTGGAACAGAGTCTAGAGTTGCCAGGCGGCAACAAGTATGGCGAATCAATAGGCACTCCATTTTATTTCAAATGAAATTTGAGGTTAGGCCTGTTCCGATTTTAAGTTTAAAACTTAACGGTTTAACTTGATAATTTTATAAAAATAAAATACATTGAAAATAAAGGTAATAGTGCATAGTTAAGGTAATTGTAAGCTGTAAAGATTCTAAACTAAATCAAATAATCAAAAATACTTTACTTGAGAGCTCCGTAAGCTTGAGCTCTGTTGATTGTTTTCAATATTTCCTTTATTTGGAGACATTTGGAATTCAATATTTTAAGATAATATCTAACTACATTAAAAAAAAAATAGCTAACATCAAAAGTTACTCTTTGGTTCAAAATTCAGTCACGTTTTACCTATTCCAGGAATTGGTTAAAAAAGGGAAGTTATTTGATGCATTTGTCATTTTATGTCAATTTTGTTATAAATTAAAATAGTTTCCACCACAAACAATGCAGGATGTCAAAAGCCTATCTCTTTGGGCTTTCTTCCAAATAAAACCCCGACTCATACCGATTCTTATCCAAGATCTTTCCCCATAAAGCATCGTGTATGTAAAATAAAACCCACCCAAATTGCTGTTATTCTTTACGGCTAAAAGGTTGAGTCAATGTTTTTCTTTCTGCTGTTGCTGTTGTTGTAGCCATCAGTTCCTTCTGGCTTTTCTTTCCTGCCCAGCGAGCGGAGCAACTGAAACAAAAACAAAAACAACAAAAATAAAATAGAAACACAAATGCCAGGGCACTTTCATTTGTTATCTGGCGCAGTAATCTGTAAATCTGTAACAGCCCACCAAACAACGGTGCATACAATATTTCCTAGCCATTCTTCACACTGTGTGACCACGAAATCGTCAAAGTCAGGCCCAGCCAGCTTTTACAAACGGCCAAAATTCAGGGGCGTAGGCTAAAAGGGTTTTTCTTTAATAGGGTTTTGAGGGAAACATAACTAGAGTATCTTACAGATATCTGAGATATCTTAACATATAATTTATATCCTTAAATTTGATAAAATTATAGAAAAATAAAGAAAAACTTTGAATAAAACAAAGGGATAGGGGTTTGAGGGATAGCTTTATAAAGTCACTTCTGAGAACTGTTTTTTCCACCTAGGCTATTTCAAAATATTAACATATTTTATTAGAACTATCTTATAGACCCCCTTAGTGGTTAAACCCCCATTTCCCACAACCATGGCAACCAATAATGACAATGCAACAGCCGACGCCGGCAGAGCGAACGTTGTAAGCTCTTTTTTTTCTGTTTTTGGTGAAAATTTGTACCTGATTTTATATTTCCCTTTTTTGTTACACTGTTTTTCTTGCTTTTCTTTCAGTTATTACGTATTGCCATGTTTACCATATTTTACACGCGCTTACAGCCACAAAACACACACACACACAGCTGAACACCTCTAGTTACCTGTGTATTGGTGGTGAGTGTTCTGCTTCTGCGCAGCGATGCATAATTCCCACTACTTTTGAAATTTGTATACTGTTGTTATTGTTGTTGTTTTTGTTGTTTCAGTTGTTTTGTGCCTTCTGCGGTGGTGGGGTTGTCGTTGTTGTTGTTGCCGTTGCCGCTGCGCAATTAATAATTCTTTTCGACTGGCGTGAAATTTTCATAAGTCAGAAAACAGCAGCAGCAGCAACCGCACCAACTTTCCATGAAAATCTCTGGCCATTAGTGGCAATCGCAACGCTTTTCACCGCCAAAAAGAGATAGCGAATGGGGTCGTAGCGAGGGAGGAAAGAGAAGGAAAACCGCAGACCCCATAGGGCTGGGGCTCACGTCATAATTTGTATTCAAATTACAAAACTCATTAATAAATGGCGTTGTTTTAACTAAAATATGAAAAATTAAGTAAAGAAGAAAGATTTTGAAACCTATTTTCCAAATATAAACTACTTCTAACAAACTATTTCTAAAAGAAAACTCATTTTTGGAAACATACATACTATATATTACAAATTAAAAAAAAAACCTAACAAGTTAGCAATTTTACAATCAAATAAAAATGTATATCAATTGTACATAAATCATTCTAATTTAAGTTTTTAAGGAACTCTTTCTTTTTTATGGCCCAAAGCTATAACCAATGTCCATACAAAGGGGAGTTGATTATTCCACAAAAAGATGGGCCTGCAAATAAAAATACCTGCATACGGCACAACAACAAAAAAAGTATGCATAATTTTGCAATAAATGTAAATATTACTGGTCCGGTGCTTCCTTTGGGAGACAAAGCGCCATGCTGCTGCTGCTTCCTGCTGCAGTTGCGCCTCCTCTTGGCCAGATGATGTTGCTTGAGGATCAATGTTGCATTGGGACTGGGCCTGGGCCTGTGCCATGGCCTGTACTGTGCTGGCCATGTCCCACTCCTTATCTTGGCAGCACGAAAACCAGAAACAAGAATTATAGACCAAAAGCCAGTTGCAATGCGAGTGCAGCATCTCACAGGTACGTAGAACGTGCTACGTAGGTGTATGTGTGCGGGGGCATTGCATTTGTGTGTGTGTGTGTGTGTTTGGTGCTTGGGGCTAGAACTTTAGCATCTGCTCTAGTGTTGGTCAACGCTGAAAAAGACAAAAAGGAAGTGGAAGTGGCTTTAAAAACATATTGCATGCGTTTTTATAAGGTGCTTTCATAAATCTTTTATTTAGTTATCATATGAAATATTCTGCATATTGTTTATATTCTTTTTCTCATTATCCAAATTAAATTAAATCAAAACAAATCGCTTAAACGGCTACCGTTGACGTCGTTACACGCAATGCACGCAAAAATCGCATGCGATATTTGAAGCCTGCTCTCTCTCTCTTACTCTTGAGTATCTTTCAGATTCTTATTCTCACCAAAGTAGTATCTCAATTCACTATGCTCCCCCTATATAAAACAACATCACGATTTGAGCTTGTATCTGTGTGTGTTTGTGTTTTTTTTTTTAGCAATTTTGTTTATGTGTAGCATGCGGTTTTGTTGTAGATTTTTGTAAACTTTTTCGCAACAGCCGCGGTCACCAGCGTCAGAGCGCGTCACCAGCCGCCGCCACCAGCTGAAAGCCCAAAGGAGAAAGATGCAAAAAAAATAGGAAGAGCGACAAACAGAGAAGAGAGAGAAAGAGAGCGGTGGATGGGGGAACTTCATTATGAGGTTGTAACTGTCTTTTCAATTTCTCGTTCTGCCCGATTCGCTTTGCCAAATGGAGCCTAGTATGGATACAGATACACGGATATTGTACATCCCACAGATACAGATACACAGCTTGGGCTTTGCGGCGGCTCTTAACTGAACGCTGAGCTGTTAACTGAAAATTGTTCTGATGCTTGGATGTTTGGATGCTGGAAAGATGGATCTCTGTCTCCGCTCAATTCATCTCATCCCCGCTCTGGGCCTCTCAGATACCCGGCTCGTGCGTGTGTGTGTGTGTGCGAGCGTTGATGTTGATGAGTTTTGTTTTAATTCTGCTTCTTGACTTCAATTTCTTATAGAAATTGTTTATAGGCACGTAATACAGTGGGCTACCATTAAGATAAACTGATAAAACTTTAATTTATTTTTTAAGAAATAATTTAAAGTCTTAAATGTATATTGGTTTAAAATATTAAGTCCTTTACTTATTTTTCTTAATTTTTAAAATCAATCAACTTACTTAAAATCTATAAATCTTATAATTATATAATCTTTTAATCATAAAAACCCCATTTAGAGAAGTACCACTGCAGTTGCCCCCAAGAATCAGTGTGTGTGCTTCACGTATCTAGTTGCATCTGTATCTGTATCTGTATCTGTGAAATGCACAACAACAGCGGTTGGTTGTTGCTGTGATTTGGTGAATCGCGCGTAGCCGATTGTAATTATTGTAATCGAGTCTCGAACCGATTCAATCCGATACGATACGATCGCAATAGGCCCAGCTCCAGCTCCAGCTCCAGCACAAGCCCCAGCACGGAAAGGGGTCCAGAAGATCAGACATCGAACATCGACATCGTCATTGCCCATCGTCTTTGGCTGATTTGATATTGTTTTAGCTGCTTTTGATCATTTTGTAATAGTTTTCTCAGTGCTCCGCTTAAATCATCTCTTTGGCCAGGCCGGAGCAAGAAACGGAGCCACCAATCCGCATCTCGTGATCGTTTCGCTTGAGCCGAGCCCGCGCTTTTCTCTTTGATCGGCGGCAGCAGCCATCGACGTCATCGACAGTCATCCATTGTTGTTGCTTTTCCAAGAGCCTATTGCTGGTATGGATGTGCCTGTTCCAGGCATGGGATGTTGCTTTTTACTAAAAGTTGATTGACTGTCTGTTCATTTAGCCGCTTGTCCATGGCTCGCTCCGTTTGTTGGCTTTGCCTCTGACTCTGACTCGGGCCATCTCTGGTGGCTACATGGAAAGAAAAGTCTATTTAGGACTTGGGTTAATAGAGAAACTGTCACCAAAGGGTTAACAGGTGCTTACCAGTTAAAGCTACCAGCTCCAAGCTCTTTTTTAAGGTCCCTTCTTTTCATTATTACCCCTACTATAACTATTTTTCTCAGTGTAGCACCTTCCCGGTTCCAAGCCACAATTGCGGCTTCTCTTGCACATTTCGTTTTAGGCCATTATAGTTTTGAACATGTTCAAGTGCCATTCTCACGATTGTTTATAGTCTTTTAATTTCAGTTGGAGCACAAGAAATAAACAGTGAAATTTAGCAGCAGGCGATTCGAGGTTTCTTTAGGCCTAATGTTCTGGAAAGCCAAGCCAACGAATCTACGTTTCGGGTGCACTATGACTGCCATTCTTCCCCCTCCCCCCATTCTCTACACAACAACTACACAAGCTGAAGTCTTCAGCTGGCAGCGGTGAAAGGCCTCAAGTGCTCAATAAGTACCAGGGAGCCCGACAGTCTTCAGTACCCAGTCTTCAGTCCTCCGGTCCGTAGTACTCCAAAATGTTTGCCTATTAAACAGCCATCAATGATTGTTACATTCTACAAATAGAAAATGGTCGAGA